ACGTGAATGCATGGCGGGCGTCGAGTTAATTACTTTTTCGCCACCTGTGCTATATTTTGGTTAACATCTGACTTATTGTGCCCGGGTTTATGATTGATAGTCAAACTCCATGAAATGACGCGTTTCATGATCCGTAACTCTCAGAGTTGAATCGTGCATGCAGGTATAATCGCTTAGGGTTGCTTGTGAAATGGAACATGATATGTGATTCCGATACTGGAGAAGCCTACTCTGATAATCAACACTGTGTAGCTGAAGTGTACCTATTTAATCATTTTATTGCAAATCTGAGGTTGCGTTTGATAGACGTACAAATAAATCATGTATTCGCCAAAATTTACCACTTAACATTGTAAGTCAACCATCCAAATTGTTTGTAGGATCGATTTAATTTACGATTGAATGCGTCTTACTGTCAAGAACACTATTTGTCAATCAATATTTTTAAGGGCCATGGTTCAATAAGCATCATGAGTAAAGATTCCATTACCTTCGGAACTTACTAGCATTTGAGAAATGAAAATACTTCATAGCCTCACGGTTTATTATTGCTATTATAATATTAGTAGTGATAGTCCATGCATTGACGCAATCAGCTTGATCTCGAACTCTCTACATTACGGACCGACAATTAAGGACAAATGTTTACGTTGCCTCCATGGGTTCGACTAAACAAAAGAAACACATTGATTTCATTAATCTCTGAATACGTCTGCCAGACTTTTCAACTTTTTTCCTTACCTGCCATTACGGGGAATTATACATTTCGAAAGCCTTATGTACTAGTATAGAATTTTTCGCAAGACCTGAGGTCAGTACAATTAAAGTTCTATGACAAGCAGTACTAGTGACAACTTGTCATTCAATCAAGCTTGACATTACTTACTCGACTTGTGAGACTTTTAGTTGACTAGGGTGTTAAATTTGCTTTACGACAGGAAGCTAGGCATTGAGTACATGCAGGACTTGAAGCGGCAACCACAACATTTTGTATACTTACCCTAACCCACAAGGGACAGAAAATAGTAAAACGGTAATGAAGTTTTTGCTGTCGAAACGTCATGTAACTTTGAGACCAGTAAATACGTATTAACCTAGTTTGAAAAGCTGGGAGTACTTCTCCTTAGATTTGGAATCTGCTGGGTACGCTGGATTCCTTTATTTTATAAGACCTGTAAAGGCTTCATTAGGTTTAATTTCAAACTGTTCGAATTATCATTATCAATTAAAGTACTATTTAAGTGGCGGAAGTTCTTGAGAGCTCACAGTGATCAAAGAACATCCGGTATTGCGGTTTGAAACATTTTTTTATCCCGCAGAAACACG